AGAGAGAGAGAGAGAGAGAGAGAGAGAAAGAGAGAGAAAGAGAAAGAGTGGCATAGAGGCATCGATAGAGACCTCGTCTAGATAGAGACGCATAGCGCGAGAGAGAGATAGGGGGCACGAGTTAACGACCCTGGCACTGGCACTACTAGTGACCCACTTTCGCAATCCATTCTGGCACTAGAACAAGACTCAGGGGAGGGCACTGCCTTCTCTGCATATCATTCAACTTGGCATCACTAGCACTAGATTCCGACCTCACGGGGTTGCCTTTATATCTGTTTCTTTAGCCCCAAGAGGATTTAAGTCTGTCTCTTGGTATCAGTTTTATACTCAGGTATCTTTCCGTTCTCAACCGTGACTCTCTTTATCTCCATCTCTCTCAACGTTTTCTCTGCCTCTGTACGAGTGTGTTTGAGTGTAGGTATGTGTGTGTGTGTGTGTGTGTGTGTGTGTTTATGTTTCTCTGTGTGTGTATGTGTGTGTATGTGTGTGTTTGTGTGTGTGTGTGTGTGTGTGTGTGTGTGTGTGCGAGTGTGTGTGGGTGAGTGAGTGTTTATGTTTCTGTGCGTGTGCGTGCGCTCGTGCGTTTGTGTGTACGTGTTTCCATGAGAAAGTATGCACGCGCACATCTATGTTAGTATACGAGTTGGTGTGAGCGGTGTGTACGTGTGCGTGCGCGCGCGCGCGCGTGTGTGTGCGTGTGTGTGTGTGTGTGTGTGTGTGTGTGTGTGTGGAAAATTGGGGTTCAAAGTATGTGTCAGCACGTAACGAGTTGGCACCGACGGCCACAATAACTTGCTTTCTTCATCAAACATTCCATTCTTTTCCTCGCTACACACCAGAAATCTTTATGCCTCATCAGTCGGGCTCTCTCTCTCTCTCTCTCTCTCTCTCTCTCTCCTTCTCTCTCTCTCCCTCTCTCCCCTGTCTCTCTCTCCCCTGTCTCTCTCTCCCCTGTCTCTCTCTCCCCCTGTCTCTCTCTCCATCCCCCTGTCTCTCATTCTCTCCTTCTCCCTCTCTCTTTGTCTCTCTCTCTCTCTACCCCTCCCACCCCACATCTCCCCCACCTACCGACACAGCCAAAAAGCGCGCAGAAACGGGAAAAAGAAAACCAATAAAAAAGAAAACTAATTGTACTTTTATTCTTGGTTCTCACAATGACACATGGCAAACTAAATGTTAGGAGCAAGTAACGACACATAAAGTAAACACAAACCATCATTACTATAGTAAATCATCACCGCTGTAAAAACGTCGTGTAAAAAGTATGAGAAGGACTAAAATAGTCCAATAACGGCCATCGTTGTCGACATTGCTACTGTTATTGTAAACATAGCCTTAGCTTCAAAGTGAGTTACACACACACAAATCTGAAATACGAAAATGCATTAAAATGAAAAAAAAAGAAAACAATCATTATAAGAAGTATTAATATGGACGCTACAATTTTTATTTAAAAAACAACTAAAAGTACCTCAAAGTTCTAAATAAACTCAAACCTGAACTACACAGAAAACGCCCGGAGAAAATAAAGAAAATAAAGGTAACACAAAGAATAAAAGAACAAGAGAAGATTCACTTCCATCCAAGCGGTCGGACGGACATTCCTCACCGCAACAAGTAAAAACTGCCGCTGGTCTAGACACTAGATCTAGAACTAGTTCTAGTCACATGTCATCCCGAGAACTACTGCCACCAGTGCCACTCTATCCAGACACCGAGCACACGTCAGAGAGGGTTTACAGTGTTTGTATTATCGTACTGTAAAACTCTCTGGCACACACAGAGGATCTACAACTACATGGGGTCCCATCAACAGCGCACTATATAACACACTTTACTTTTACTCCTCTGTTGAGTCAGAACGCAGTGCTGTGTTTGTCACTAGATGGTTGGCTTTCCTACTTCAGCCGACGCACGCTCGGGGAAGATGAACAAAAGATGAAGAAAAACAAAAGATGAGAAGAAAGACAAAACCAAAGAAGCCCCCACAGCCAAAGAAATGTTAGCTGATGCGCCGGTAAACACAGAATGGTAAAAATAAAAGGTGCTATGAAAACTACGACGATTTCCGCAGGCACTGTGTTGCTATTTTTAGACGGGCCTGGCACGAAAACGGAACGGCACGGCACGAGTAGAGCGCGGGATTTGTGAGTGTGTGTGTGTGTGTGTGTGTGTGTGTGTGTGTGTGTGTGTGTGTGTGTGAGTGTGTGTGCGTGTGAGTGTGAGCTTGAGAGTGTATGCGTGTGTATGTGTGTGTATGTGAGTGAGCGTGTAAGCGTCTGAGTGTATGCGTGTGGGTGCGTGTATGTATGCGTGTGAGTGTATGTATGCGTGTGCGTATGTAGGTGAGTGTGTGTGTGTGCGTGTGTGTGTTTGTGTGTGTGTGTGTGTGTGTGTGAGCGTGTAAGCGTGTGAGTGGATGCGTGTACGAGCGTGCATGTGTGTATGTACGAGTATGAGTTATGTGTGTGTTTGTGTGTGTATGTGTGTGTATGCGTGTGTGTGCGTGTACGAGTTGTGAGCACACTTGTGTGTATGCTCTTGTGTATGTCTTTCAATGTACAAACACAATCATGTATGATGTATGTCTGTCAGTTTTTCTTAGATTTTTTCTATCTATCGATCTAACTGCAGACACTGTCGGCCTGTATGCGTCTGTCTCACCCTGCCCTTGCATCCTACCCCCTCCCCCCCATCTCTCACTCTCTCTCTCACTCTCTCTCTCTCTCTCTCTCTCTCTCTCTCTCTCTCTCTCTCTCTCTCTCTCTCTTGTGTTTGTGTGTGTGTGTGTGTGTG